ACTCTTGTGGGACACTCTTGTAGGAAACTCTTGTGGGATACTCTTAGGACACTCTTGTGGGACACTCTTGTAGGACACTCTTGTGGGACACTCTTGTGGGACACTCTTGTAGGACACTCTTGTGGGACACTCTTATAGGACACTCTTGTGGGACACTCTTGTAGGACACTCTTGTGGGACACTCTTATAGGACACTCTTATGGGACACTCTTAAGGGACACTCTTGTGAGACACTCTTGTGGGACACTGTTGCGGGACACTCTTATAGGACACTCTTATGGGACACTCTTAAGGGACACTCTTGTGAGACACTCTTGTGGGACACTGTTGCGGGACACTCTTGTGGCACAGTCTTGTGGGACACTCTTGTAGGAAACTCTTGTGGGACACTCTTGTAGGACGCTCTTGTGGGACACTCTTATAGGGCACTCTTGTGGGACACTCTTAAGGGACACTCTTGTGAGACACTCTTGTGGGACACTGTTGCGGGACACTCTTGTGGGACACTCTTGCGGGACACTCATACGGGACACTCTTGTGGGACACTCTTGTGGGACACTCTTGTAGGAAACTCTTGTGGGATACTCTTGTAGGACACTCTTGCGGGACACTCTTGTAGGACACTCTTGTGGGACACTCTTGTAGGACACTCTTGCGGGACACTCTTGTAGGACACTCTTGTGGGACACTCTTGTAGGGCACACTCTTCGTACGAGACTTCCTCCAAAAGTCACGCTGCGAGGCTGCAAGAACAACATCCGCTCACACGCCAATCCCAATGTGACAGCGACATTCACCTCTACCACAACTCACAACCTCACGATTCCCTGCACCTGCCACGAATCTTTCCGCGTCCACACGTCTAACGCGCACAAAGTACTGCGCCTGCCACGAAATGTCACCACCGTCACACCTCGCAACCTCACGATTCCCTGCGCCTGCCACGAGAATCGCACTTCCACGCCTCAAAGCCCGCACAAAGTCCTGCGCCTGCCACGAAAAGTGACAATATCATCTCATGTGAGCTTCAAAAAATTTGCACCGCACCACACGTTTGGAATGATGTCGACCCGTTCTGAGCACACTCCCATCCACCAAAATCGCCATTTCAGCTGAGACTTGTCACGAAAACCGAGCTTCGATGCCACACCCTGAAACGCAAATCCCAATGGCACGGCCACATCCAACACCCCAAAAACACGACTCTCCAAACGCTAATCCCAATGGAACTGCGCAGCAAACTGCGGATCTCACAAAACGCTGCGCCTGTGCAGCGAAATGCTTCACGTTTCTTGCGCGACATGTCATTGCAAATCACAATGGAATAGCGGTGCAAACTGGCACGTGACACCTCCTTGCAAAGTCACTTGCAAAAGCTTCCCCCAATGGCAGCGAATTTGAGACGCGACGACGACGACAAACGACGAGAGACGACGAGACACGACGACAGACGATGACAGACGACGACAGACGACGACAAACGACGCAAGCCATGCGAACACAGCTCCAACCCCCAGACCCCCAACTATAAACGGGAACCCTTCGCTACACATTCGGGAAAAAAGGGACTCACCAAATTCTCCGAATTGATGGATCTGGTATTTTCTCCCACGTATTCCAGCTGCCCTGCCCCCCAAACCACAGTGGACACGGGGGACACCAAAGCGGCCTCCCGGAGCTTCTCCGAGACACCGCGGAAGCAGTCCTGACACCTGGCAGCTTAAGCTCCGCGGCGGAGAGGCACAGAACGACCGAAGGCTCCGTGGTTCTCTTTTTTTTGATCAATGTTTGGATAAAGTTAGATGAGTTCCATCCGCCATGAGTGATGTGTTCCTGTACCAACCGGTACTGAGGGGTCCCGGACAATTGACAAAGGGAGTTTCGAGAGACTACAAACTTCTGGACATACCGAGAGAGCTGGTTCAAGCATCTTCAAGCCTTAAAGACCTTGTGATGATCTCTCTTCGGTTGCTAAGCACATCAGCGCCACATGTGGTGAAGTCCTCACTCTGATCACATTGGCCGGTCTTCATAGAGGGCAACCATGTGGTCATTGGTTACCACTTGTCAATGCAACTGTAGGAAAAGCATGGAAAAGTACACTCCTTACGCCAACAAGCAAATAAACTGCCTGCTAACTTGAAGGGACAACTTCGCGATATCCCTGGCTTGTCTCCGGCGACGTGTCACCCCAGCTCCATCGGCACCTCACGCAATTGGTCGCAAGATCCTCCACCTTTGCAGCACCAACAACTGTTGTCGGCTTCAAACAACTGGAAGAAATCAGGCTGTCACAGTGTCACGATATTGGAGGGAACAAGGTTCGCTACTAGTAGCAAAGGGCATCGCTACTAGGAACAAGAACGCTACTAGGGGCTCCTGGCCTTACTACTAGGAGCAATGTTTGCTCTTAGAAACAATATATAGAATCAAAAGTAATTTGAATCTAATGAGTCCTTCCTCTGGCCTATCGCCCAAAAGATATTCTGGCCTCTCTTTTCAGATGATTGATAATTTTTTCCTATATTCTGCAATCATTTCCACAGGTCTGATGAGCATACCTAAGACCAGGTACCCAACTCTCACAAATGATTTTGGTCGCCCAAAGGTAATGATGGTAATGAAGCCCGCCGATAGAGGTACTCACACTTGGCACTGAACGCGCTATACCTCCTCTGGGAATGGTCTAGAGAGTCTAGAATCGAATCCGCCTTCACTACTACGCACATGAAAGGAATCCGCAAACCTACAGCAGTGGCTAAGGCCTGTTTGACCTCGCTAACGACAAAACATGGCCAAACTTATTGTTGATGAGGACTGTGGATCACAACATCTCACACAAGAAAAATTATGCAATGTCTTTCTCAAGTGGCACATCGACAGGCTTTGGAGTCAAACAGTGGCCCCTGCATGTATCATCGAATCAACCACATTTCTACAGTAATTAAAATATGGTAAAATCAGTTCCGCCAAAGTAAAACTCTGTCCCTGACACACCAGCCATGCCCAGTGCCTCGAGAATGAGCCTCCGCATCAAACTCTTCGCCACCGCCACGTCCAAGCCCTGCACGGGGCGCCTCAGTGGACGGTCCCAAGGTCTGCCGAGTTGGGGTTGGTTGGCGGGTCGGTTGGCCGGTTGGTTGGCGGGTTTGATGGAGGTGGACTTCGCTTGGCTTGACGTATTAATGTGACTGCGCAGTATGATGGACGCCGAGACCGCACAACTTGACAACAGGAGAAAGATCCAGAATGGACATTGGCCATTGGAAAGAGGAGATCGAAGATTTTCCTTCACCTTGGATCGATCCACCTAAGGTTTCTTGGGATCACTCTTGCTGGTCCCCAAAAAGTTATGGTGAGCGCATCACACGCATTTGATGGGCTCGCACCTGCATCCTTTTGCTCTCTTTCGTTGTTGTAATTTTGAAATGTTGTGGACGGCAGCGAAGAGAAAGTATGAACTCCGCTTAACTCCCCTGAACTCAATGATGCAAACTCGCATTTCCCTAAACTGGAAAGGAGCCACCAATCCTGAGCTTCTCAGTTCCGGGCTTCATGCGCATAATGGCTTCGATGAAGTCATGGACCTCTTAAAGGCTCGTGTGTTCGTTCTTTCGAGACAAGCTTCATGCCGAACCAAACAGAGAACTGGAGCATAGTAGACTTGAGCGGAAAAAACCCGCGAAGAACACTTCTGTGTCATGTTTGGAACAGCTGACCAGGTATATAGACAGGCTGAGAATCATTGGGGATTGGCCAAGATTAGAGCAAGTCTACCTGCACTATGCACTTCAAACTGTGAAAGCATACATGCAGACATATAACACACACCCACACACTCCATAATCCAACATGTCAAGAATATTCAAGAAAAACATGGGTCTTCTGACACATTCAGACTTGATCAAGTAGCACATAGTAGCGGCTAGCACCCGTTCTTCCCTAAAAAGGCCGCAAGACAAACAGTGATATCTTCCCTGAATCATGTATCATATTGTAATATTCCGAGGAGACAGGTAGTCAATATGGCTACGCCTGGGAGTGCATTTGCACTGCAAAAGCATGTACGGTATATAGTAATGGCTGATGACCAATTGGAGTTCTACTACCCCTAAATTTGGGGTGGTTTCGTTTGTCAAAGTTCTGCTGTGAGCTACAGTGGTTCTTACATGTTTCTACAGTTCTCCCCTCGTATTGCAAAACGTGTTTGACCAAACAAAAGGGCAAGCGTGTTCGATCTCCCAACAGCCTTCACACGCTCCGTGTTCGTCAGATTGAGCCTTGACAACCAGAAACAAATCTGACCCAACATGTCATTCAAAGCTGGTGTATGTCATGGCCCTTCTATGCAAACTGCATGCACAAACGAACAGAACTTTGATCTAGTCCCAGAAGTCTGCGAGTGTTCAGCTGAAAATAGCCTTGAGGAGTCGTGCAATTTGAAGTTTCCTTAAATTAAGTTAAATCAATCATTCGCAAGGCAAGGGCGTGCAACAAATACAAAATCAAACCCCGGTGTTTGCTGGGATAATAGGCGAAACCGGCGTAGACGTTTCGTACAGCAAGCCATCGAGCGTTACTCTGATGTTGACCAAAATGCCTGGACACTGTTCAGACTCTGTCGAAGCGCGCAATTTTCCCTTCGGCATGAATATGTCTTTAGGCTGGTCTTTTGAGAGTACCAATAATGGCACGACAACACGCATTCGCAAGCCATCTGGTATATCTCAATACCATAAGTTCTTCAGTGGCCTGATTTGATCGGGTCTCACTTTAAATAATGCCTGCGCCACGATGTCTGGACACAAAAATTCTGGTCTCCCTGAGAAGCAGGGACCACTGCCATGTCTTTGTCAACATGCAAAGGCCCAAGAAACACAGCAATCTTCGAAGACAAGCTCTCTGCAGAAAACATCGCGTCTTCTGGAACCCTTACATGCGATCCTGATTATTGTTACTGTGCAAATTTGTGGGCCGCTGCAGCTAGGAGGTTGCGGCGCAGGCCCGACAACGCTGGAGACTAACGTCCTGAAAGTGTAAATGCAGCAACATCCTTTGTAATCTTCACGTCTATATAACTACTTCATCCATAGGATAACTCCCATTGATCAGAGGCCTTGTGAGACAATGTCAAAACATTGAATGACTACATATTGCTACCACAATGTGTGGACATGGGCTTCTATTGTTGTCGATCTGGCCACGAAGCATAAATCGAGCACTTGTGACTATGGCACGAATTCCAAGCCTCGCGCATCTCTGTACATGCGAACCAAACAAACTTCTGGGCGCGCAATGGAGTTGGGAGCAGTGCTGAATGGCTCGAACAGCTATGTCAGCTATGTGTATGTCAAGCAAACACGGCCAGCCATACACCCAATTAATTCCTACTCAACCTTGAGTCCCATCTTCGGCCTGTAAAAACCCTGCTGAATGCAACATGTACGAATCCAAAGCTCCACAAAGCCTGCCCAGTCTAGATGTCTACGGGCCCCCCGTCTGCAGCTCACTTTCCGCTCACTCCCTGTGCTTGTGAACCTGAGTCCCGCAGCACGGGCCTCTCAAAGATCTTCCCACCTGAGAGGTCGCATGTAGCTTGTAGAGTTCCAGCAGGGTAAAAGAACGTGTAATTGCATAAAGATAGTTGGGAGTCGGGAGAGAGAATTGAAAGAAAATGTGTTTGCATTAGTTTGTATCCTGCCAAAACTGGCAAGAATAGATTTATATATATATATATATTTATTTATACTGTATACTATATAGTTCTGATTATGTTTGGCAAAAACGTATATAGTTCTTGTGCTTGTTGCAAGCCAAGGTGCTCCATTGCATCATCGTCATCATCCGTGGCATCTTCCATACCAGGAGAAGCGTAAACAGTTGATGGACTGAAGTTGTCTTCCTCCAGGGTTTGGCACTCTCTTTCAACATCATCTTATTAAGCTACTAGTAACAAAGGGCATCGCTACTAGGAGCAAGGTCGCTAGTAGTAGCTCCTGGCCTTCCTACTAATAACAAAAAGCTACTAAAACTAGTACTCACCTAGTTACTATTACTACTTACTGCTTTAGTGGGGGAAGCTGCGAAGTGTGCCAAAGCTTTTCAATGCAAGGGATGATGATCTTGTTAATTTTGTCAATAGTACGTAGCCTTTTGTTATTAGTAGGAAGGCCAGGAGCTACTACTAGCGACCTTGCTCCTACGGTAGTAGCGATGCCCTTTGTTACATGTAGCTTCCTGTTCCTACGGTCCGTGTGTAAACCAGTCCCCAAAATTCACCCGCCTCCGCGTATGATGGAATCTTTTGCTTGTCGACGAACTCAAGCTTGATCTCATTCTCGCAGGGGCTTGGACGCTCGAGGTACCTCCTCGGTGGAGTGGGCCCTAATTCTGCCACGTAGTGCGTGGCTTTGATCCAAGATCTAATTAGGTGCCATGTCAACATCAAACTGGACAAACTATAAGAGTGCTCATCCTGTAAATTTTTCATACTTGATACTCAATGCTCACTACGCTACTGCGGCAACCCAACACCTGTCCAAAGGCATGAACAAAGATTCACGACCGTCGTTTCCAGTTCCAATTCTGCGGAGGCACACGGCTGAAACCATCATCAGCAGCTCCTAGGCTTCAAAATGAATCTTCAGTCACTGAGTGGTCTGTTTGGATGGTGGCTAGTGACTGGTGTTGCTTGAGGCTGGTGACCAACTCCAGTGATCTTCGCTGGATCAATCAGAAAAAAATAACATGAGACGAATTGAACAACTCCAGTGCCCTGTGAGCTCGAAACAAGGCAATCTAGCGATCTAGTGATCTCGCAACAAGATTCTTTGATAGACTGAAAAAATCAAAGAAAGAAACACTTGCCAATCGCCTCTCTGCTTTCCACCTCACCAAATGGACCCCTGATGTGTGGGAGGAACGATGCATCCACAAGGAGTAAGGAGTCAAAGGTCAATTGAGAGAAACATGATATAGACCGGTATGTATAAGTCCACCTCAAAGGATGAAGCTTCAAGGCAAGTAAGTACTATTACTATCACAATCCCCACACCGAATCCCCCGTTCGTTCCTAAATATTATATACTCATTACTCCATATCCAAACCGACCGAACAAACCAACTGTATCCAACTGTCGATCTCTTCCACAAGTGACCCGTTTCAGTTGACCTCTGTGCAGTTCGGTCCCCAAGGCATCGAACTGGGCTCCCTGATCAAACCCTCCGAGCTCCGACGTCTTCTCTCCGAAGCACTCCGAGCTCCGACAAGAAGTAGGCGGTGCCCTTGAAGTCCAACGCCACTTTGGCCACCCGCACCAAGCGCCCAGAGGAGTTCACAATGGGCTGCCAGCCGCGGGGAAGCTCTGTCATCATGAAGCCTCGGCGCCGAAGAACAGGAGCCAGCATGCCACAACTCCACAACGAAACCAAAAACATTCAAAAACACATCTCCCTGAACATCCCTGAACAGGTGCCCATTCGCTTTGCCGGGGAGGATCACCTGCTGACCGGGTCAGTAAAAAAAACACACACTTAGGATATTGTGTACTGAACTGAATGCGGTGCCACACGCCGGCCTAAGAGACCCAAATCCTGAAAGGTCCAGGAAAGTCCTAAAGAACCTGGAGGTCTGTAAGAAGAAGTGAGGCCAAAAGCTCAAGGTCGAAGACGGCGAGCGAATCGAGCAGGGTGACGACGTTCCGCTCACATCTGCCGCTCGAGGTTCTTGGCTTAGCCTCGTGCCATTTTAGAAAAAGAAAAATAGCAGGTACGTGCAGCTGATCAGGCTGCATATCCTGAGGTCACCATAGAGAGCTTCGTTGGGCACAGCTCTATGGGCCTCCTGTGCCCCCCTGCAGTAAAACAAATGCAAAAGCATCCCTATGACTCCAAGGGTGACACACACACGCCTCCCCGGAGGGAGGCAAGATTTTAAGCTCCATGCCGAAGGTAAGGTGAGACTAAGAGAACTGACGGATCTCACGGTAGGTCTGGTAGGCAGTCAATGGGAAACTGAAAAACTAAGGCTCCAACAGGTTCCAATGAACCTAAAACTTGCTTTGACCGCTGTGGTCACCTTGTGCCCTGCCGAAACGGCTGGCTGCTTTGACCGCTGCGGTCACGTAAAGGCATGAGCCAACTTGGAATTCCAAAGATGAGACTAAATTGGAGTTCTTGTGGCATGAGCCAACTACTGTCCGCTGTGGACACGTACATCTCCGGGCAAGGGAGATAACGACGTACACCCGTTCAACGGGTCCACGGGAGGCACTCTGCGGGCTCATCCCGGGTTGGCACGAAGCCAAACACACTTAGGATATTGTGTACTGAACTGAATGCGGTGCCACACGCCGGCCTAAGAGACCCAAATCCTGAAAGGTCCAGGAAAGTCCTAAAGAACCTGGAGGTCTGTAAGAAGAAGTGAGGCCAAAAGCTCAAGGTCGAAGACGGCGAGCGAATCGAGCAGGGTGACGACGTTCCGCTCACATCTGCCGCTTGAGGTTCTTGGCTTAGCCTCGTGCCATTTTAGAAAAAGGAAAATAGCAGGTACGTGCAGCTGATCAGGCTGCATATCCTGAGGTCACCATAGAGAGCTTCGTTGGGCACAGCTCTATGGGCCTCCTGTGCCCCCCCTGCAGTAAAACAAATGCAAAAGCATCCCTATGACTCCAAGGGTGACACACACACACACACACATCCCATCCGTCTCATCATCAGGTCAGCAGCCATGATCGTGGACCTCGAAGAAGATGCCATGGGAGTCCAAGGTCACCTGATCAACCCCTGGATGTGGCCAGGCTTTGATAGGGTTTGGCCAGTGCCGGTTGATAAGAGGTGGCACCTTATCATACCTTCCCAGATGTTCTCTCATTTTATGTTGTTTTACATGTTTTTGCTGGTTTGGTGCAAAACCAAAGATCGTGGCACTTCAAAGAACAGGTCCATTCTGAATGGGATCCAAAAATATATTGCCTGAACCACGGCAAGTTGCTTGCTTCAATCCAGCTGCGCCAGAAAGCAGCAACTGAACACAGTGATTGGTATTGACCAAGCCGCTAGGAGCGCTCATGGGTCTGAAAGGCAGGATGTCTGAAGGCATGGACAGCTCCTGTATGTCTGTCCCCCAAGTTGACGGGGGCACTTTGAGAACTGGCACTTGCTCTGGTACAATCCGTCGACGCTTCATGACATCAATAGCCAGCTCCTGCCCCTGGCGCTTGGTCATCTTCAATGGACAGTCTGGCGGGGCAGTGAGCCGTCGCCTCTTATCAACCTGGGTTGGGTCAATCGAACCAACTTGACCAAAGGGCCCAGTACGGTGCATGCTGAACAAACAAACCAAGCGACGGAAAAAAAACAGTCGAATGCCAACCTCACCTTTGTACAAAGTGCTTAACTTCAAGTGGGACACCAGGTCGTGTGGTCCAAACTTCTCGTTGCTCTGCACCAGTGAATCTGATCTTATGCCACTCCTCCTACCCTACACTGATCCCCGAACTCATTAACAAGACTCACAACTCTCCTCACTACTCTCCATCGGATTTAGAACTACACTTCACCAGTGGTGAGGTTTGTCAGTCTTTCTTTTGATTCCCTTTCTGTGCACAACATCCTTTCACCACTTGGTGCCACTTGTTGCCCCCACCTGCTGGATGAAGGCCATCGCCGGCTGCACCAGCCCCGCCTTTCTGAGCTCCACCTGGACATCCTCCGGTGCCAAACGCCGGCGCTTCGCCTCGCCCGGCGACGCCTCGGGCGCTTCGCCGTCGGGTGGAACGGCGTCCGCCAGCTCCATGGCCCGTTTGGACTCCATGGCGTCTGAGCCCGACAGGACATCGGCGGCGTCGGTTTCGAGAAAACCAGAGGTTTAGGTGGTAAAAGCTTAAGGGTGTGGTTTTAGGTTGGAAAGGTCTCGGTGATACGAGCATGAATGACACCTGCACATTAGAATTTATGGAAAGTAGGGTCCACACAACGAGCAAGGCTAGCTGGAAATCTCTTGAACACCACTAAAGCAAACCAGCAAAATGACCCCATGCTTGTCAGATCTCCCAAAACTGACATAGCCTTCAAAAACCTTCCAAACCCTGACATCTACCAGCTTTTTGTTATATAGTGCTTCACACTTAGGACTAGGACCATGAATGATGTTTGCCTACCTACTTCCACAACCCGATGCATCCCGGTGCAAACTCCAATCTGAGGCTGCCCCGCTTCTGATAAACCATCAAGGCTTGATCTGGCCGAAGGTTGATGAGGTCCAAACTGCAGCCGCAGCCGGAACGGTTTGGAGGTCTCGAACACAGAAGTAGTTCCTCACACACCCTGCTGCCCTCTAGACACCAATAAGTCTTATATAAGTCTAGTATCTCGCAATCCTATACTGCTGGGAGACGCTTGCCCGAGAAAGCAACTTTGAACCCGTGAGACATGAGACCGACGCCTCCTGGCAAAACCATTGTCTGCGAGCAAGTAGTTCAACCTCTGCTGCAATTTGAGTGGCATATCGTCTGGCTGAGGTGGGCACAATTTGTTCAATACAATTGATCTGAACCCAATGTATATATATATATATATTATAAGCTTTACGACACTTACAAAATCAATCCATCAAAAGAACTTGTCAACATCTGGACTCGGTGTGGTTTCCCAAACCAAGGGTGGAGCATGTCGATAGCTTTTAAGCATTTTGTGTGGCACCCTATGATGCGACTGCGACGACACTTACTTGCAGTTTGTGCTTTGGCCAGTGTAACCACGAGAACACGAAGGAGGTCGATCCGAATTGTTGTCCTCTGGAATTCCTTTCCATTCGACCGGTGTTCAATAGATCTTGTTACTAGTAGCAAAAGGAACCTAATAGGAATGGCCTCCACCCTAATTGCGATGGCCTCCACCTAGTAGCTTCTAGTTACTAGAAAGCTTCAAAGACCGCCTACTGGGCGACGATTCACTCTTGATCTTTGGATGAAAGTCCTTTGCCCTTGCCCCTGGTTCCAAGACCCTCATGATCCGGCCCTGAAACCAGCCCGTCCCGGTCTGCACGTGAAACACTGGGCTCTTCGGCTCGCGGATGGTGATTAAGTTTCGATCCACCGGAGTGAGGTCCTGTGACCAAGGACTATCCACTGCTGGGCTATCCACGAGCTATCACAGGATAGCTCACGCTTCTTCAAATTGACGAAGTGCTCGCAAAAATCATTTAGTTCCTAGATTTTGAGGGAAACATAGGGAAACGATTTCAGAGTGGCACGGTCATCCCTTAGCGCGGAATGAAAGAGCCGGGCAACCGCAGTGCGTATGCTCTTCTACCATTTCTGAATGTCCGTCTCTCTGGTCAAGTCTTGTCCAGAAACAAGTACAGTACAAGTGCCTGTTCATCTTCCGGGCGGCTTCGCCGTGGTATTTCAGCATGATTTCCTGTTTTTGTCGGGTGGTATGGGCGGCGGGGTCCTCCAGCTCTTCTTCCTTCTTGAACTTCACCTGTGGCACCGCTCCACTTCGTACCTCTCGACGCGCAGTATCGGGGTCTTCAGTGTCGTTTGTCTTGTCACTTGCGCCAGCCACTCGACTCTATCCTTTTTTGCCGCTCCATTCATGCCAGTCACCCACTGGATCGAAGCACTACCTTGCAAACAATATGACACTGAACCTACATGCTCGGCGGAAGTGTATCCCACAGGAAAGATCTAATTGTCACGGATTTACCCTTGCAGTGAATAAGAGATGCACAGGCATACCAGAGTCCAAAGGTGTGCAAGGGAATGAACTTACCGCAGAATCCAAAAGAACGGTAGAACCCAAAGGTATTCAGAACGTTGACAGGTATCTTCATGAAGAGTCGAGTCACCTGATTGGCCTGAGAGCAACCAATTATGAAAAGTGATCACAAAGTCGAAAACTCATAACAACCAAGGCGTCTCTATCTGTTCATCAAGAAGAATTCTCGAGTCCAAGTGGAAGGAACTATGCCAAAGAGTCTTGTTCCCACGTCATATTCTGACAAGATCGCACAAAAAGTAAACGCACTAGAACATGATACATAAAGACCAAGGGCACGACACGAGACCTATCTTGGAGGGCCTCCTCTCTCAAAGGGCAAAAGTTGCATCCCTCCCCTTCCGTTCAGTCACAATTCATAACCACATTGCATTCCAAAGGGTATGTTGTTGACTTTAACCGCTGTCAATAACAAACATGGTTCACAACAAGGACACGTGAGGCATTAGATACGCAGTTGTGCACGCAATGCATGGAAGCAAGAAGGATCTTGCCGCGCGAAGGGCGGATGGAATTTCTGTTGAAGTTGTGCAGTTTCATGATTTAGGCTGTGTCAGGAGCAAACATACTTTTCTGTAAGTGTGTCGGTGAACCCCTCGCACTCGCGCCGCTCCCAAATACACCAAGGGCACATTAATGAAGGTAAAGTTGCCCCCATACCTGCTCAGCTGCTTAGCACATGCAGGGAGGTTACCTAAAGTGCCTGGCCCAATCAGCTTCCATACTTTTCAGAAAGTAGTCTCACCTATTTAATAGACCGCAAATCATCTCAAATCAACCCAAGCAAAAGCTGACCTCACGATCAGCTACGAGCACCCTCATGCAGGAAGGTGGCATTGCACTACGGCTTTTAGGTCAACAAATCAGGCCTAGAGCTTGCGTGGAATGTCGCAGCTGAGCCGCTGGAACCAACACCACCCCCGCACCAGCTACAAAGCCCACCTGAAGTTGAAGGCCTTGGTCCAGGCCCAAGAGCGAGATGCTTCCCCAAAGGTCACACTTAGGAGAGATGGAAGGAGTTCCGGTTGCTATATATGGACAACATCAAGAGGCTGTGTTTTTTCTGTAGGTTCTTGGAAAATCAACTGGTGACAGGCAAGGACTTATCACAAGATCTTGCTTCCAACTGCTGGGGCATCAGGTTGAAGAAGGAATTATTGATGGACAGGCAATGTCCCAATGGTAATTACCTCCTCATCTATCCCAGCAGCTATTCGCACCTGAGTGGATGTTCCTCTCATTATCTCTCATTCATTTTTTGTTGCGGACTCTGCTTCAAAATCATTCCACTTGCCATTGGACAAAGGAGGGTTTAGCCTGAAATAAATTTAGAAGCTCATTTATGCTGCGTTATGCTAGCTGCTAGCCACTAGCCTGGCAGCAGGATCGCTGCTTCGGTACATCTGCCAACCACGTAATGTCTGTGTGTGGGCCCTCCTGTACTTCTATTGAAAACTTTTGAACAAGGGTGGTTGATGGTTGCTTCTGAACAAAGTGGGTATAGGGTGAGGCGTCTGCGAATCTGAGTTCAAGATGGTGTGCGAAAGTGAGCTGCTTCCCCTGCGGGCGTTACGGTATGGCTCGCAAAAGGCAACCACCCGAATCTAGTCCATTGAATTCCATGGGCTAGTAGGTTGGAGGCCAGAGGCCATCGTGCAGAACAGGTCACCGATGATCACCTGGCCTGACTCACTTGACCTGCATTATCGCCAGTGGATCGAATGGTGCACGCCCAAATACGCCCCCAACGCCCTCCCAATCAAACGGGGCCCCCAGGCTTTGGACAGCGACACTGGTCGAAATATGATGCTTCTCAGGTGGGTCCTAAGGGCATCGCTACGAACGGAGCAAGGACGCTGCGTCCGATCTCAGTGCCTTTTCGAACGCCATCGAAAGGGCTAGGTTAGGACCTACCAACATGCTGCAGCAGCCAAAGAACAGGTGAATCGTTTCACGACCAATCTTTCACACAGCCTTGCCCTGAACTACGTAGCCAAGACAAATCCCAATGCAAATCCATGAACAATTGATGAACATTACTTGATGTTCCACACCCCACACACGCTCCTCCTCCAAGACCCCATGATAACTTTGCTTCCAAACTTTGCTTCCCACTTCCTGATCCCCTCCCAATCCCACTTCATGATCTTCTCATCAGCTCCTGCTCAATCTTCGCGTTCCCTCCAAGGCGAGGTCTGCCACCTCCTCTTCGCCTTTCTCCTCTTTGCTGGGAGGCTCTTGTTCGATGACCTTCGCGGCCAGCCCTGGTGGCGGTACCCGGCCATGAGGGGACTACAAACTCACCCGAAGTTGTTCTCTATGTTGTTCTCGGTGCACATGGAAGTGGACAAGCTCCACTCTTGTGAAGGACAGCTTACAGTCATCAGTGGCATGAACCAATTGTTGCTTCCATGTTGTTGAGTCGGGTGGTATCAACTCAAGGATAGAGTAGGTGCTCATCCAGTTGTTGTTCATCGGCGTCCCCCCCGGTCTTGCGCTTCGGACCATGAAGACATGGATTTCTTCTTGACTCCTTAGACGACCTGGTTGCACGACAGTGCAGCTCTTTACATGCCAGCAAGCCATAACCGCAGGCCATGCATGAACAAAATCTACCCTTGTGTCCAAGCAGCATCTAAACAATATATAAAACCTTATAATACTGTTATTGTCAAACGCCTTCGGATCCGGAGAGCAAGAATCATCGAGAGCAGCATCGCTCCATCGATCTTCAAAGATTCGTCCGAGTTGCGTAGCAAGGCCAAGCTCTGCCTGACCCAGTTCAGCAAACCGACTGAATAACTCTACCATGTTAGACCATCCCCAAAGCCTGTGGAAACCTGGAAGCCTGTGGAGACGTCACCTCGTTATTTTTGCAGGCGGAGCCTTGCAATATGAACACTTACAGTATCCAATCTGGCTTGGTTTGTATGCCTTTCGATTTGGGTTCGCCGCATCTGAAAGCAACTTTGACCAAATGTACTCCACTTCCTGTCAGCTTTGCCTAAAGCTGAGCAGTCCCATGGTGATCAA